TTAATTGTATGATAAGTTGGCACACAGACTTCTTCACTAGCTGGAGATGTTTTATGTAGCTGGATTAGGAGTGCCTTTTTTTTGCCTGTTTTTCATTGTTGGAATGGGTCATCAAAATCCGGCTGTTTGGATTCATGTCATGACTCCCTCTGCTGGAGAATAGGCTCAGCTGGTGTTTAGTTTATTAATCCTCCTGCAACTGAATCTGCCCCAGGTACAAGAATTCCTAGTTAAGACCCTGCTTTAGAATCAAAGAAAATTAGAGCTGGAAAGGACTTACCTCCTCTCCTACATGTGTGTAATAAGCATCTAATGAACATTCACTGAGCCAAAGAATTGATTTTACAGATGAGGGGACAGGGTCTCAGAGAGGGAGAGTAACTTGTCCAGGGGCCCACAACTCATTAGTGACAGGGTTAGGACCAGACTTAAGGTCTCCCAGTCCAGTGAACCATCCAATGCACCAGGTAGCACCTCGTTTGAGGGGGAAGCTACTCCTCTGGCTGCTGCTACAGTGGGTTGGGCAGTGACTTTGGGAGTCAACAGGATTGGAGGAGGTGCCCCCTACCTTGGGTGCTAAACACACACACACACACACACACACACACACACACACACACACACACACATATACACCTGAGGCTTCTGTGAATAAGATAATCTAGTAAACATCCCAACTGGCACCAAGTCAAATAATATTGATAATCATGATGATGGTAACAATAATAACAATAACAACAATAATAATAATAGCTGGCATTAATATAGCACTTTAAGGCTTGCATATGTTATATTGTTTGAGACTCACAGTAATCCTGTGAAGTAAGTGCTATTATTATCCCCATTTTACAGTTGAGGAAACTGAAGCAAATAGAGGTTAAGTGACTTGCCTAGGGTCACACAGCTAATGCATATGAGGTAGAATTCAAACCCAGATTTTCCTGACTCCAAATCCATGATTCTATTGACTGTGCTACCTATATGGGGATACAGGAAGGGGGATTTAGGAAGAAGAATATAATGAATTTATTTTGAACATGTTGAGTTTGAGATGCCAGTGAGACATCTATCAACGTGTCACTTACCAGCTATGTGGTCTTAGGCAAATCACTTAATTTCTTTGGGACTCAACTTTCTTATCTGTAAAATGAGAGGGTTAGACTGGAGGGCCCCTTCCCCTTTAAATCTATAATCCTAAAGATCCAGGCAGCAGCTGCTGAAGGAATGGAACTCAGGAGAAACATATCGATTGGTGACCATCTGGGAAGACAAGAAAATTGAAGCCTTGGGAGCAGCTGAGATCCCTGAGAGAGTGAAGAGAGGACAGGGCTGAGGAAGAACCTTGGAGTCCTCCTTGTTAGGGGATGGCAGATGGGACAGTGACCCAGCCAAGGAGATGGAGGAGAGATTGAACAAGGAGAAGTGTTCTCAGAGCCAAGGGAAGCCGGAGCAGAAGGGAGTTTCCAGGAGGAGGAAGTGGTGGTCGCTAGAGTCAGAATCTATAGAGAAAAGGCTGTGGGATTTAACAGCTAAGGGGATCACTGGTAAATGTGGAGAGGATGATTTCAGGTAATCAGATTGCAAAGGAGAGAAGGAGGGAGTGGAGGCTGCAAATGTAGATAACTTTTCCTGAGAATTCGGTCATAAAAGGAAGAAGAGATATAGGATAATAATTCAATGGATTGGGACACCAAAGGAAGGCATTTTAAGGGTTGTAAGGATCCAATAAGATGCCATGTATAAAAAGCTTTGCAATCTTTAAAGTGATGTATAAATGTGTGCTATTAGTGTTAACCTGTCTAAGCCTCAGTTCCCTCATCTGTGAAATGGGAATAAAAATAACTAGGCTACCTATGACATTTTGATGGAGAATAATATAGAGGTAAGATAGAAGGGCTGGTGATTATGATCAGAGAAAGGAATTTTGAAATTCAGAATCATAGAGGGGATGGTGAGAAAGATGGGCTGACGATCGCTGTATGTGGCTAAAGTAGAGTGACGATAGGGAAGGGAAAGGAATAATCATTTGTAAAGTACCTACTATGTGGCCAGGTACTGTGCTAATATCTCACTACAAATTACAAATAACATACATATTACAAATACCTCACTTGTTGCTCACAACAACCCTATGAGGCAAGTATTAATATTATCCCTGTTTTACAGTTGAGGGAACTGTAGCAGACAGAGGTTGTGACTTGCCCAGGATCATACAGCTAGTAAATATCTGAGGCTGGATTGGAACCTAGGTCTTCCCGATTCTAAGACTGACTCCATATTGATTTAAGGTGCAGGGCACATAGTAGGTGCTTAGTAAATGCTTGTTGATTGATTAATAAGATTTGTCAAGTGTTTGTGTGTACTCTATCCTCACAACAACTCTGTGAGGTAGGTGCTATTATTATTCTCACTTTACAGATGAGGAAACTGAGGCTCATAGAAATTAAGTGACTTGCTCAGAGTCATACAACTAGTAAATTCCTGAGGTAGGATTGGAACCGAGATCTTATTGACTCCAGGTCCACTACTCTGTTCACCCTGTCTCATCAAAGGGTTTTGAGCAGAGGTTTGTGACATGCTTGAATCTGTGCCCCAGGAGGATGCACCAGCCTGGGGAGAGCAGATTGGCTGGACAGAAGAGAGGGTGAAAACGAGGGTAAGAGGGAAGATGGGAAGATGGACTAGGAGACTGTGGGCATTTTCCTGGCAGCCCGTGAGAAGGGCCAGAATTCATTATCTTTACCCTATAGCCCACATAATGACTGATATTCACAATGATGAGCCCAAATTATCAAGAAACAGTGAACTTCTGCTTCAGCTGTCTCTATTTAAGGAAGCTAGGAAGTTCATTCTCCATTTTATATTAGTAAGATTTCCACCCCAAATGGAAATAAAAACCATCGTAGCACTCAAGAGAGCTAAGGATACTTAGCTACCCAAAATGATTCCTTCTCCAAGGAGTCTATCTAGTTAGACTTGGAATCAAGGAAGACCTGAGTTCAAATCTGCCTTGGCCACTTTCCAGTGCACGAATAGAGGAAGTCATTGAAACTCTCTGAGCCTCAGTTTCCTTATCTATAACATAAGGGGGTTTGGATGACCTCTGAAGTGCCCTCCATCTCTACAGCTAGGGTCTGTGAACCCAGGATTATACCAGAAATTCACACGGGGAAATAGAGGTGTGGGGCCAATCACCCTCAGGCCAGGCTGATGAGCTATGGTTGGTCCAGTTGGCGATGAGGAGGCATGGGACAGAAATGACCTAGAGAGATGACCATGGAGGCAGCTTTAAGGATGGAGTGAAGCCGGAGGTCAAAGGGCAGAGTCAGAGGGGAGGGGAAAGAGGGACCAATGGGGAGATTGTGGCAGTCTGCCAGGTGGGAGGGGATGAGGGAGGGCCTGAATTAGGATGGTTGCCATGGGAATGCTAGAGGACTGCCTTGGAGAGTGACTCTACTAACACCTGAGGGGGTAGAGGGAAGGCTGTGCTAGGCTTTACGAGAGATCCCCACTTTGAACGGATGCAAACCAATGATACCAAAAGCAATAGGGCTTTATTCAACTCCCTAAAGGAAGGTGCTTCCCTTGGAGACTCCCATGTGGGGGCAAAGGAAGAGCAGGGAGCAAAGGTCCCCAGGCCCCAAGTGATCCCTCGCTTTCTCTACCCCAAGTGATCATTTAACCACTCCTTCAGTCTGATGCAAGCACACCTGGCTTGTTCCACTTAACCTACAGAAAAGGACCAGGTATTTAATAGGGAAGGAGGGAATCTCTCTCAAATGGGCCAGATCGGTTTCCAGCCTCCGATGTCATAGGCACGTAGACGTGTCCAGTGAGCTAGAAAGCAGGAAGTTTGTTCCAGAGAAGGGGCAAGCCAAGAGAAGGGGATATGTCTAGAATTGAGACAGCCATTCCCTTCCATTCTAAGCTGACCTTCTACCTACTGTATATGTCTTAAATATACCTAGTTATTTATATTATTAAAATATATTTATTTTTTCCATATAAATATATTTATATTTTTTCCATATTAGAATGGAAGTTCCTTGAGGGCAGGGCCTGTTTTTGCCTTTATTTATATCCCTTGCACTTAGCACAGTGCCTGGAATGTGCTTGGCACATTTTTTTAAATAGACCTGTGATTTCAGTGGTGTGCAATGTCCATTGGCCCCTGCTCTGAAATTTATAATCTCAGGGATTTTGCTAAGGTGCTAAGAAATTCGACGATTTGCCCAGGGTCACATAACCAGTACGTATTGAACAAGGGACTTGAACCCAGCTTTCCTGACCCTGAGACTGGTTCTCTAAACACTCTATGAGCTACCTCTCACCCTGAGTATAAGGGCTTAATAGACACTTGATGAATGGCCTGGAAGGGAATACAGTTATCCCTTCCATGTTGAGACTTTCCCACCTTGGTTTCGATGTATCTCAGGTTGGCATAAAAAATTAAATGGGGATTTTGGGGGAGTTTTGAGGAAGCCACAGACAACAGGTAAAGGCCAACAAACAGCACAGAAAAAGTTCTGAAATGCAGAAATGCATAAAATATATATATATAGTTTTATATAATATTAACTTAAATTTTACAATAAGGTACTATAAACACCCCAGTAAAAAAAAAAAGAAAAAAGTAGGATTTCTTCTCTGGTATGAAGGGAGAGCTGAAAATTTTACACAGATTTTCCAGATCAAAGGGGTGCCACGCCCTAACTCCCCCTCCCCCACCCTCCATGTGGAAGGGATAACTGTATCTGGTTTGAAGCTCTGGTCCTCTTGTCAATCCTGTCTTCTCGGCATTGATTGCGTTGGTGGGTCTGTCGGGCTATGAGCTCCCCCAGAATAGTGCCCTTCTATGTGTGGGTCTCCCAGTACACGGCCCACCCCAGATAAATTAAGAAGGCTGCAGGCTGTAATGCCGGTATTTATTTCTCCTCAGAAGAGCAGCACTGTCCCCATGTGCCCTGGCCAGAGTTAATAATGCTCTTGTCTGTTTGCAGCTGCCTTGGGGACCTTAGACTTCAGTTTGCTCTACGACCAGGAAAACAATGCCCTTCACTGCACCATCAGTAAAGCCAAGGTATGTGTGCATGTGCTTGTGTGTGTGTGTGTGTGTGTGTGTGTGTGTGTGTGCATTTATGCATGCCCTCCTGGGGCACCCTCTGCTTCCCACTCAATGAACCTCAGGCGGTGGGGGGAGGAGAAGGGGGTGCCCCTAAGGAGCAGAACCCCACAGCACCAATGCCAGCTGTGGTACTGGACAAGACAGCCAGGCTTCCACGGGGAGTGGGAGGCTGCTTAGACTCTTCCTTCAATCCAGGGGCGATGGAGGAACTCAGGGAGAATGCCTGTACCCCTTACTCTCCCTCTCTTTACAGCATTCCTGGCAGCCCAGGATAAAGTGACAGACTTGGAGGCAAGAAGACATGAGTTCAAATCCCATCTCAGACACTCACTAGTTGTATGATTCTAGGCAAGTTACTTTAACCTCTGTCTGCCTCGGTTTTCTCATCTTACATATTTTTACAATTTTACAAATGGGGATAATAATTATAGCACTTACCTCCCAGAGTTGTTGTGAGGATCAAGTGAAATAAAATGTTTAAAGTGCTTTGCAAACATTAAGGCACTAAAAAAAACCATTAAGGCACAATATACATGCCACTACTATTACTTTAAAAAAATTTTTATTTGTGAGGCAGTCAGGGTTAAATGACTTGCCCAGGGTCACACAGCTAGTAAGTATCATGTGTTTGAGGCCAGATTTGAACTCAGGTCCTCCTGACTCCAGGTCTAGTGCTCTATCCACTGTGCCACCTGGCTGCCCCTATTATTACTATTATTAACTGGCCCCTGGCTAAATGCGGAAAGGAAGAGTCAGGGACCTAAGCTGGAGGTGAGTGGAATGGGAAGAGATTGCCATCCTGACTTTTTTAGGGCCCCAAGGGATTCTGGGATGGTTCTTTATCCATTCTCTCCTCTTAGGGTCAGAAGCTCATAGATATAGAGCTGGAAGGGGCCTTAGAATCAATCAATGAATAAGTAAACATTTATTAAACACCTACAATGTGCCAGGTACTATGCTAAGCACTGGGGATACAAAAAGAGGCAAAAGACAGACCCTGCCCTCCAGGAGCTTACAATCTAATGGTGGACACAACATACAAACAAATATATACAAAGTAAGCTATATAGAGGATAAACAGGAAATAATTAACAGAGGGAAGGTATTGGGATTAAGCTTCCTACTAAGGTGGGGTTTTAATTAGGACTTAAAGGAAGCCAGGGAGATCAACAGTCAAAGCAGAGGAGAGAAAGCATTCCAGCCAGAAAAAATGCCCAGAGCCAAGAGATGGCATATCTTGTTCATGGAACAGCCAGGAGGCTGGGGTCAGCAGATCAAAAAGTACCAGCTGGAGAGTAAGGTGTAAGAAGACTATAAAGGTAGGGAGGTTAGGTAATGAAGGGCATTGAATGCCAAATGAAGCATTTTGTATTTGCTCCTGGAAGCAATAGGGAGCCACTGGCTTCTATTGAATAGGAGAGAGGTGTGGCATGATCAAATCTGTCCTTCGGGAAACTCTTTAATAGACTGGAATGGGGAAAGATCTGAGGCAGGCCAACCCAACATCAAGCTATTGCAATAGTATAGGTGTGACGTGATGAGGCCCTACACCAGGGCTGTGGCAGAGGAAAGCGGGGAGAATATTTAGGAGATGTTGCAAATGCTAAATCAACAGGCTTTGGCAATAGCTTGTGGCAGGGCAGGGGGGTGAAAGACAGTGAGGAATCCAGGCTGACTCCTAGACTTTGAGCCTGAGGGGCTTCGAGGATGATGTTGTTGTCTACAGTAATGTGGGGGGGGGGAGGGTATAAGAAGAAAGATAATGAGTTCCATTTTGGACATAATGAGTTCTAAGATGTCTACTGGACATCCAGCTGGAGACGTCTGAAAGGCAGTTGGAGCTGCAAGATTGGAGGTCAGTGGAGAGATTTAGGCAGGAAAAGTAAATTTGAGAATTCCTCAATATAGCTTACATTGTATATATTTGTTTGTTTTCTCTGCCATTAGATTGTAAGCTCCTGGAGGGCAGGGACCATTTTTTGCCTCTTTTTGTATCCCCAGTGCTTAGCACAGTGCCTGGCATATAGGAGGTACTGCATGAATGTTTACTGCATAGAGATGGTAATTGAATCCTTGGGAGCTGACCTTAAAAGCCATCTAGTCCACCCCCACATTTTACAAATGAGAGAACTAAGGCCCAGGGAAATTAAGTGACTTGTGTGATAAAGGGCATAAATGGCAGAGGTGGGATTCTAACCCAGGTCCTAGGATTCCAAATCCAACACTCTTTGCATTGGACCGTTGACACTGGGAAGAAAGATGGTAATCTCAATGGTAGTGATCAGGATCCTAGGCAGTACCTTGGGCCAGGTGGTAGACAGAGAAGACGCCAAGGCAGCTAGCTCCTGCCAAAGCCATCCCAAATCCTTCCTCCCCACTCCCAACTACAAGCGCTAAGGGTTGGGATAGAAAACGAATAGAGCAGGAAGGGGGAGGTAGAGGAATGGAAAAAAAAGAAATTAATGCATGTCCCCTAGGCTAAGGGGATCAGGGGAGAGGGGGAAGGGGACCTCAGAGTCAGGTCTGAATTGGACAAAGAGGACAGAGTCACTTCAGGCTAACTGGCATTTAAGACCCTCCGGTGATTCTCTCTGGTGTCTCCCAGGGCACTTCCCAGGGATGACGGGCAGGGCACGGGAAAGGCACAGAAGGGACACAGAGCTGGTCCCCTCTTTTTGGCCCTGCTACCCCAAAGGACCAAGCTGGGGTAGGCAGCATAGCAGACATTCTCCATTGTGGTGGTCAATCTCCACTCTTAAACAGAAGTGGGCAAAGTTGAGCCCTGCGCCATAAGTAGGCAGAACAATCTGGGCTTAGCCTAAAGCTGCTGAATTTCTTCAGTGTAGAAACAACCAATCTTAACACCTAGTTAGCACAAACAAGGAGTTAAAATAGGAAGCTCCCAGATGGTATGATATGGAGGGGTAATTCTATATGATCCCATCTAACATCCACAGGGCAGCACTCTGTGAACCGAAGGCACATTTTATACTGCCAACCCTGGGTACTCTCTCTGGTAGCTGTCTTGGATGCAAAAATACCTAGTTATGGCTAGGCTGTGCCTGAAGAAAAATTTTGTTCTGAATTTCATCTCCTGGCCCAGCTCTAAATCTCAACTCACCCCGTCCTCCAAAGACAACCTCCAAAGACTTGGAACTGACCTTCCATATCCCGGCATTCGCTCTCCATCCCCCAGGGTTTGGAGCATTTTAAAAGCTTTCAGTGGCGTCTGATTTGCACAATGACTTTCCCACTCAGCTCCGGGGCTGCCCACACCCTGCTGCCCCCTGGGTCCCGATGGCTGCCCAGAGTGAGGGATGGTCATTTACCAGTCACTTTTTTCAATCTCTTCTCATTCCCTCCTGCTGTCCTGTCCCAACCTCTGTCACCCATTCATTCCCATCTCCCTCCTCTGGCACTCACTTTTGGAAAGGAAGATGCCAAAGTTTGTCTATAGAAAGGTAAGTGCTTAGAGTAGCTTACTTGAAGTAGATCCCGTGGTAGCATAGCTGGGCTTCTGCTGGGCCTGTTGATAGTTTCTCCCAAATAACGGCCACGTTTAGATGGCTGAAATAGGAAGACAGGAAAACTAGCAAGCTTTCCTGAAGTTCTTCATTCCTTTTTTTGTTCTCCAGCCAGCATGGAACCACTGAGGTTCCATGACTGAAGGGGGCCAAGCAAGGGTCCTCCCCTTGTAAGGTGATTATGGGTTTAGGGTCTTTGGAGTCATCCACACTATCTCTGCACCACTCAGATTCCCTGGTGACCAAATGCCTGGGAATGGGGTGAATTGGGGGGGCGGCCCAGGTGGGAGTTTCTACGTGCAAAAGCTCAACTCTCAGCCTTAGGCTTATATCAGGCCGAGGTCCCAGTCAATTACTAGGGCATCCCAAATAGACAGTGTCAACCAGACCAAACCTGTGGATGGCTGGAGCCAAACAGAGCAGGCTAGAGACAGGAGAATCAGGAGTCAAACAGAAGTTTAATTTCAAAGTGAGGGAAACGGCTTGCAAGCAAGGAGAGATCTAGACACACATGCTGGGGCCCCACCCCTAGTGGGGGGACCTGAGGCAGGGTGGGGATATCCCAATGCTCTTATACCAATGGTTGCACAGTGAGCTGCAGCCCTGGCAGTGAGGGAGAATAGCAACAACACGACAAGTTTGATTCATAGCAGGAGTCCTGGCCAGACCATGGGTACTTGTCCAAGCTTGTCCAGTGCTTATCCAAGTTCAGATAACACCTGGTGCTGGTCAAGGCAGTATGGTAATGATGTGATTTTGCCACAGGGTGAGATCATCCAGAGGGTGAGTGCAAAGGATTGTTGTTATGCCAAGCTCAGGACACAGCTTACATGCTGGGCCTTAGCTCTGGAAAACACAGTGTCTCCTAATATCTTGACAATACATACGTCTGTACACCTGCCTGGGGCTACATAATAACCAACACCCTGACCAATGAAAGAGACTCCTGGGTACAATGAGAGAGACAGACAGGCCAACTGGAGTGCTGGATTTACCTCTCCAACCCGTGTGCAGGTGCCTCCCAAGGCACAGGGGGGCAGTATGGCACAGTGGGAAGAACCCTGAATTTGCAGTCAGAGGTCCTGAGTGCAACTCCTGCCTCTGGTGTTTACAACCTTTACAACCTCTGCCAAGTCCCTAAAACTCCTCTGTAAAATGGAGAGGGAGCTGGGCTAAGTGTCTGGTCCTTTGAGGGGACCAGAGAATGCCTTGCTTTGGCAAGGAGTCTAGTCTTTGGACTAGAAGCTGAACTTGGCCTTGGTTATGATCCTTTCAGGGGCTCATGGATCTAGCACCAGAAAGGGGCTGGTTAGAGCTCCTGCCCTCAAGGAATGTATAATCTGGGGGGAGTGCAATGGGTCCAATGCCCAGGAAGTTCAAATGACTTGCCCAAGGTCACATAGGTAGTAAGCATCAGAGGAAAGATTTGAA